AAGAGAAACTATCGTAATATCGCTACCTATGTAGCATCAGATGCGATGCGCATCATAATTGGATCCATAGTATAATGCAAGAATGTTCATATTAATAACCCGTACAGTTCAACTAGCCTCTTCTCGAGAATCCGGCCGTAAGCCGTCCTCTCTTCCTGCATCAACTTTCCGTTTCTTAGCGACCTTCTCGTCATCATGCACAGCCGGATCGCCGCTCCTCTCCGTTGCTTCATCCTTCGTTGCCGACGACGGCTTCGCTACAACCTAAAAAGTAATATCAATAACAATGCAACACTGGCCGTCGAGTAACCTCGTTTGTCTGTTGTGCATGCGGTGCCTCCTCAGCTCGCCGCCTCTCTCTGACAGCCTCCGCCAAAGCAAGAAGCCACCGCTGGTACTGCCGTAGTTGTTCATGATACTGCAGCTCCACCAACTGCCGAGCCTCTCGTGGTGTTAAATTACGTTTGATATCAGACGGACTCGGCTTGTCGACGGGCATGTCAGCCATCAAAGGCTGAGCTGAAGGCAGTACGACAGCATCTGAACAAAACAACTCTGCCACAGAACCAAACGGCGTCCTCCTACCTTGGGGTTGAGAACCAGTGCATTGGGCGAGGGCGTTCAAGTCCTCCTTTTCAGCATCAGTATCGCCCTTCTCGGACACTTTAAGAATCGCCGAACCTACTGGAAGGAACTCCCACTACGCGAGTGGAGATATGTAGACAGGTGATACCCTAAGCCTACCGTCATCATCATCATCATCATCATCAGTCCCAACCTCGGCTTCTATGATTTCCTTGATCTCATGCTTGTGTTCTTTCTCACTAACACCATCGCCCGGTTGCGGGTTCTTCACCTTCACCTCCTTCTCCTCCATCACTGACACATTTACGGCGCTCATCACGCTACCCGTAGAGATGGCTTCAGACATGATAAATCAGCGAGGGGCGCTGTAACGTACTAAGGGAGCGAGCTCAATGAAACCCACGACAGAACCAGGAAAATATAAGCTGCTCAGATAAGGAAAAATAACATACTACTGCAGCACTGATATTGAAAAATTGGGAAATAAAAACTACTGCTCGACTAACACTAGCATATGTCAACTTATTCATGGTTCTCAACCCTCAAGACCCCTAAGCTTGGCCATAGCCGCCACCACCGGGCGTTAGCAGCCTCAGTCGATCACCTCTGGCCATTTCAACAGTTCTTTTGCCGCCAATGTTAACCACTTGTGCGGCCTCCCTCTTCAACCAGAGGTTCAATCCCTTCATCCCGCTTTCACCACCAGCCATACCGTACGGTGACTTCGCTCTGCGCTCTGTCAGCACCGACACATGAAGCGGTCGGATGAACTCGAGTTCACGCAGTACACCACAGCCGCCAGGGTGAGCACCGGCACCACCACTGCCTTCACGGAGACCAAAGTGGCGGACTATGCAAGGGTAGCGGCGCTCCATTATCTCAACATCAGTGATTCTTGTATTGGTCATATGCGTGTGGACTCCACTGACGCCATCCCAGCTCGGACCAGCCCCAGAGCACCAGCAACGTCTCGTAGTAGCCAAAGGAAGCATCACCAAAAGTAACGTTGTCATGCAACCACAGCTAGCCGCGCAGAATTGGAAGGCGCGGAATATGACATCGACCACTCGCTGACTAGTGACAACATTGCCACAGACGACTGCGGCTTCAGGAGACGGGTTGAGCATGCAGTGACCGCGCTCGGGGAGGACCACTCGTACTGCTTCCAAGCAGCCTTGGTTGAGGGGGATGTCCGAGTCGACCATGCAGCGGAGGCAGTAGATAACGGCTGACATCGTCACTGCAGGCGGGGCGTTTGTATTGCCAACCACTTCTGGACCGGACCCGGTGAAGTCGAATACCGCACTAGCCCTTTTGGCTTCCTTCTCTTGATGTAGACGAACCTGACCACAAACCAGCCGGGTTCGATACCCACAGCTGTCATTTTATCTACCTTCAGTTTAATCACACTACCATCGTCCATTGAGTCCTCAGCTTCTCCCTCCGTGCCGTGTTTCTGTGACCACGTATAAAGCATACTGAGAACTGCCTGCCGGGCGTTCTCCCTGATATGGTGCATGTACGCATGTACAACCCCCAAGCCATATGTCTGTATCATCTCGTGAACCAAGGATATGCCCTGTTGATTAGCCGCGACCTGTGCCCTCAGATCCGCCAAATTGTCCTCGAGATTCCTCGTCCCCGCCGCAGTGAGGAGCTCAGTGATACCAGCCTCATCGAAGCCTTGGCCGGCACTGACCAGCTTGTGCGTGACAATAGCACAACCTTCCTCCGCCAGACACGACGAGTTCGGTGGCATGCTCCCAGGTTCAATTCCCCCCACGTCCGCATGGTGCCCTCTAGATGCTACCACAAATGCCACCCTACCCCCCTCGAACACCGGCGTCATCACCGTGATGTCGGGTAGGTGTGAGCCTCCTGCCAGCTGGGGGTGGTTCGACACCAACACATCGCCTTGCTCGAGCCTGCCTTCCCATAAACTCAACTGAATCTTCACAGCCTCCTGCATGGCACCCAAATGGACCGGTATGTGCGGGGCGTTGGCAATAAGCCCCCCGTCTGGGCCGAAGACAGCACACGAGAAGTCCAGCCGGTCCTTCACATTAACACTGGTGGCCGTCCGCTGCAGACACCGGCCCATCTGCTCGGCGATGCTCATAAACTTGTGGCTGAAAATTGACAACTGGATCGGATCCGCCACTTCAACGTCCATCAAAGGGCCATCGCCCCCGAGCTGATTGATGTCTATGACATAGTCACCATCGCCATTGACCTTAGCCGTGCAGTCCGGCTCCACCACGATGGTCCCCGTACTCTGCACTATGATCGCTGGGCCCCGTACCAGTGCCCCCGGTCTCAGATTTGCCTCCAAAAACACCGGAGTCTCTTCCACACGGCCAACACCCTCAAAGTAAACACTCGACAGCTCGTCACGCCTTGCCTCGTACTCGCTGGTAGAAGCTGGGCGAGTGAACTCGAAACCATCCTCTTTGACGGCTCTAGCCCTCACTCTGATGTCGTCAATGAGCAGCTCTCTGCCGGTCATGAGGAAACCATATTCCCTCCTATAGGCCCTCTCAAACGCCTTCCGGTAGTCTCCATTATCACCTTCCTCTACAGCGGTCATGATGCTGGTGTCCGTACCAGAGTAGCGCATGTTCAAGTAGCCCTTGGCGTGGATGTTGCCATGGTGGCCCGCCTTCTCAAGGGCACTGATCGCCTCCTTCTCCAGCTGTTCCAATGTGCCCATCCAAGGCCCCTCCACTTGCCACTTCTGTGCAGAGGGGACCTGCTTATCAACAACCTCGTCCGCAAGGGCCAGCCCAAATGCTGAGAGTACCCCCGAAAATCTATGGACGAACACCGTGTCGATGCCCAATGCTCGAGCCATCGCACAAGCGTGCTGGCCACCAGCCCCACCAAAGCACGCCAAGACGTGGGTCCTTACATCGTAGCCTCTCATCTGAGTCATATTGCGTATGGGACGACACATGGCCTCGTTGGCCACTCTAATGAAACCAGCAGCACATGCATCGACGTCCTCCCCTAGACCCATGTCCAGGGCCAGCTTCTCCAAGGCCTTCCGTGAGGCTTCGGTATCCAGAGGTTGATCCTGGGTCTCACCGAAGATGCGGGGGAAATGACTGGGCAAGAGCCTCCCCAAAACCAAGTTGGCGTCCGTCACTGCCAGCTTGCCCCCCTTCTTCCTGTAACACACCGGCCCCGGATGAGCTCCTGCAGACTCTGGACCAACACACAGCAGGCCATGTTCGTAGGTCAACAGACTACCTCCCCCAGCAGCTACTGTAGTGATGTCCAGTTGAGGAGCCTGCACTGTGACGCCAGCCGTGACGGTCTCGTAAATGTGCTCAAAGCCAACCTTAGGGTCATAACGACTTACGTCGGTCGAGGTGCCTCCCATGTCAAACCCGACTACTGCCACTTCATTGCCAAGCGCACGGGCTGTCGTTTTGGCAAAGCCCACGACCCCACCAGCTGGACCCGAGAGTATCGCCTTGTGACCAGTGAAGTCTCGCATCCGAGCCAAGCCACCATCGGACTGCATAAACAACAGCCTCGTATTCTCCGTCTCCGTCAGTGCCCGGTCAAAGCCATCGCAGAAGTTTTTTAAATACGTTCTGATAGTCGGGGTCAAATAGGCATCTGCCACCACAGTGTGGCCCCTCGCCACGGCCTTAGCCATAGCCAGCACCTCACTCGAGGCCGACACATGAGCGAACCCCATGGACCGACATAGATCCGCAACCTGCCTCTCGTGATCTCCATAAATATAGCTGTGCATGAGCAGAATAGCCACACTCTGTATGCCCTCCTCCAAGAGCTCCAAGAGTCGGGGTTTCAAAGCTGCCTTGTCCAGTGGTCGCTCGATCCGGACTTCCTCACCTGTTCTCCCCCGGACCACCTCCCCCTGCAAATAGTCAGTCTCCCGAGCCAATACCACACGCTCCGGTACTTCCAACACCTTAGTATAAAGTGTGTCAGGACGTCGTATTTTCACATCGAAAATAGCAGGCCTGGTCTGGTTGCCAATCTCGAGTAGATCAGCAAAGCCCTCTGTAACCAGCAGAGCACAAGGCGTGCCCTTCCTCTCAAGTAAAGCGTTTGTAGCCACAGTAGTACCCATACGAATCGACTCGATCCTCGAACAGTCGACCGGCTCCTCTGAAGGGTGGGCCTCAGCTGTGAACTCCTGCAGAATGCGACGGATGCCTTCTCTAGGGGCGTCCCTGAACAGATTACAATCTCCGCAATCATCGTTCATGACTGTCGAGCCGAGTACTACGAGTAGTTGTCCGGGTCCTCGGAGAGCAGCTTGCGGACTATCCTCTCGTGGCCACCTCTGCCATCCGGGACTTCAGCGTACACATCGGTGAATGTTCCTCCTCGGTCGATGGCAAAACGGAACTTCTCGGAGCTCATAACGTAGACGTGAACTTAATAAAGACTGATGAGAATGGACAACAGCCCTTGCCCTTCAACCCTTATTACATCAATCTGATAAGCTCAACACATGGTACTCAGAAGCCTCATCTAACAGCTGTGGAGAAACAGCTTGGCAAATCGCTCCGCTCTGAGATTCTCAGAGCGGAGCGATTTGCTAAGCTCTTCTCAGACTGAGAAGAGACTCTTGGAGGAGAGCCCAAGCAATGGCATCAAGCACTCATGACGGTGGCTGTGCTGCCACTTGTGACGCTGTGTGTGTTCACACGTACAACAGCAAGATGCTACGGCACCTCCGTCCTTTCGATACCCACGAACGGGCCGCTTCACGAGACTGAAGGTTCCTCATTCCAGTTCGTGAGTGTTGCAACCAATACCCCTCTGGATCTTCACCGGCTCAGCTAGAGGTAGAACCTCGACCTATATAATCACCTCTGACTTCGGCAGGTGTCGTTCCTTCTCATCCTTCAACAGCTTTGTGGAGGAGGAGCCTTCTCTGCCCCCATTGGCTGCGATAGAGACAGAGCGTCCATCTCACAACCTGATCCCTTCTGCCTCGATATCACCGCAGCTCTCGTTCCCATACATCGTAGTGTTCATGGTAGTGTTCATGGTAGTGTTCATGGTAGTGTTCATGGCAGTGTTCATGGCAGTATTCATGGCACTGTTAATGGCAGTGTTCATGGCAGTGTTCATGGTAGTGAGCATCCATCTTTTCTCTCGTTCAGTACCCAATGCTGTCATCGAGGTAGCGCCTGCCCTCCATAGGCTCTACTTCAATGAACGATGTAAGCAACTTGATCAGCCTGAATGCCGGGTGAACTTAGGGCAGTAGCGCGACCGAGAAAACTTTCAAGTCCAAATAGTAGTACCACAACAACGCCCTCCCACTATCATCACTTAGCATCACTCGGAGGTCTCTCCAATCTCCTTGCTTAATATGTTCGTCATGTTCTAGGACAGCGTCGGGTACCTTCACGGAGCAGCAGTGAAAGGTGTGCAAGTCGCTACGTTTAAAGCTGTACTCTCTAGGTGTTGGTCATAAGCAGAATGATAAATCTGCGAGGGAGGAGAGAACCCACGGAATCAACTTAACAGCATGAAGAGAGTAAGTGTTCGGAAACGACGTGAGTGGTGATGATGATGACCAGTAGAATATTTACGAGAAGGCAGTAACCTTTCCAGGAGGAGCAGTAAGCAACTTGGGCAGCCTCTCCCTCCCTACGAGCCTCTCCAGAGCATAGCCGTCACAGCCACTATACAGGCACGTGGAGTAGCACTGGCTGGGCACTCTGACGTCACGGAGGAGGTCCTCGTAGATCTCCGGGCGCTCCGGCACACCGTAGAATAAGTAGTGCTGAATGCCCTTGATTCGAAGTTTCCTATACCACAACAATCGCTCAGTCATTAAGATCACCTTCTTCTGCTGTGTGAGGAAGAACTGTCGAGCCCGGCCCATCGATTTGTTGGAAGAGTACTCGTCAATCGCCACGAATGAGGCATCGTTCTTCTTGAGGAAGGCTCGCAGCCGAAGATACTCGAAATAGGAGCTCACGCAGATGGCCAGCCGACCAAGACCAGAACCAATATCCTTCCAGTACCTCTCCTCAAAGAAGTTCAAGTACTTATCAGAAGCCTGGGCTGGGTCCTCAACAGAAACATGCATGAACAACTGCTTGGCAATGCCAAGATTAACCGAGCACTTGGCTACCGTGCCGACCTTGGTCGAGGGCAGCATTCGTATCCAACCTCGCCAGTTACCTCCTCCCCCTTCACTCCATGTGTCATGTACGACCGAGTCCATAAGCGGATTATACGTATCCGTGAGGACCACCGTTTGGCGGAACCTCCTCGCGAGTCCGTCAGCTATCCAGGGTCGGAGCCGAGATATATCAGCGCCTTCAGGGAGCGTCGAGGGCTGGACGTTGGTGATCTTGAGGACCTCGAGGACATGATCCCAGTTCTGCATGCTCAGGATATCGGCCCGATCGAGGAGGACCATCTCAATAGAGGAAAGAAAGTCAAATTCGCGTTTGGTGTCTCCTTCGGCACCTGTGATGAGGCGGAGGCCCAGAGGAGACGCTATGATGATGTCCGAGGCGTTGAAGGGGGCGTAGAGTCTGGTCATCCGTCGGCCCACTTGAATACCAACACGGAAGTCATCATCGTTGAAGTCGTCTTCTGGGAAGATCCCATCCCGCCAATCGGTCGGTTCGGTCTTGCTCGAGAACTCCTCCGTACCGAACTGCTCATCAAAGCGCTTTTTATTCATAGTTTGCTGATTGTTAGGGGCCAATCTGAGTAGCCAGTGGACATATTCCCGAGCTACGTTGCGGAAGGGGCAAAGGATGAGGACTCGGGGCCTCGAAAAGCCCTGGTCACGGTACGGGTCAGAGTCGAACTCCTCCGTCTTCTCTCCCAGGAGAGCGTGCTTCCTCAGCTTCTCGTTGTTTTTCCAGACAGTATTTCTGGCCCTCACCACATGTGCCATCACGTGTGACATGGCCACCTTCCGAGTCTCCCTCTGAGCTTGATAATTCATCCCACCGTATACGACATCGCTATAGGTCGACAGGGCGGATGCCAAGGCCCGACCCTCCTCGCTCAAAGACTCGCTAGTACACCCGCTTTCCTCGAATGAGCGTCGAACCTTCGGCAACACGTCGACAAAGCCCTCCTTCTTCTCTAAGAGCTCGACTGTCGAATGAGTACCATAGACTCTGCAACGGTCAAGTTGGTCCGTGATCTTGATATTGACTTCCGAGATGTCTCCTAACGTGGGGATCTCCTGTAGGTTATAGGACGAATAACCAACATATTGCGAGCTCTCTTCCTCCTCGTCGCTACCGGCGTCACTGGCAGCCTCATCTTCCCCTTCTTCCACTTCGATCGTCTCGTCAGGCGCATCACCGTCCTGGTCCGTCCCTTCAGCTGGGCCCTCAGGAGACCCCTCAGTACCTTCCCCCTCCACAGACCCTTCAGTTTCCTCTACTATATCCTCCTCCTCCACCAGCTCCTCTACCACAGACTCCTCATCGTCACTAGAAAGCCTGTCTGCATCTACTCCCAATGTCATTAGCAGTTTATCGAAATCACCAACGTCCTCGGCTGGCCCATCAGTCTTGCCAGTCAAGGCCTCCCTAACAGCCGCGTGGGTGGCCCTAGAGGCGGCTTCAGCGGCAGCAGCAGCCTCCATCCTTGCACTCCTCAAAGCACCTAGATGACAGTACAGCATCGACAGACTTGTCATGACGGCCTACCTTTGGCCTCCTGCCTGGCCTTCTTATCGAGTTTCTTCTGTCTCTTCTCCATAGCATCCTCAGCGTCCAACTTCCGTTTTCTCTTCTTCCCCAATGGGTTCTTTGGCTTCGTCTTGTAGTTTTTGAACTTAGCCATTCAGTCGAGGGAAATCTACACAACTCTTCAGACCTAAGCCCCCTCCACTGTGATCCAACACAACTCGGCTTCACATTAATAGAAAACTTGTAGCCTGGAAAAGCTCCACCGTTAATGCATGGTCGTGTTGAGAGAATCAATAACTCGGGACGAGCTGGCAGGAGGAGGTCTCAGCAACAGCGACTTGATAAGGAAAAAGTTTTAGCCTGGATTCTTGCCAACGTGTCCTATGTTCGATATGGCATGAATAACCTATTGAATTGATCGACTGTAAGAATAGAACTCAGCAATTCATCTTTGCCTAGTCCCCAGGGCGTTGGGCGTCTCAGTTGATCTGGCAGTAGGGACAGCGTACAGGGTTTGTTGGTGGCGAAGTCTGATTCCTATTCGGGAGGGCTAAGGATCGTCCACATCTTGAGGGTCATACGATCTTTCCAGGCTCCAATACGATGCAGAGGACCTGCACTAGTGAGTGACGTTCCTCCCCTTGAAGGGTGTGCGTGCGACGACTCTGTACGCGCGTAATCGATCATACAGGCGTGCGCATAACTCGTCCAGCCGTTTCGCCCGCCAATGAGACGGGGCTTCACAGCGCAAGATATTGTTCCTTCTATCGGTTCAGCAACTCTATTCACCATGACCGCTGAGGTTGCCACTGTTCTCCCCGCCTCCGAGCCGCCGTCTGCTCACGAGTTCGAGGCCAAGCCCCAGCCTGCTCCTGAGGTCAACCAGCTCGATCCCATGCCCCAGTTCGGCGAAACGCCTATGGTAAGGTTCCCCTCTCGGTTCCTTCGCCTTCGCGAGCATGGTCCTCTCGCTCTTGGCCTCCCTTTGTGTCGACCACTGGTATTCCCTTATCCCTCAGTGTGCCATGTGTTTGATCTCGGTTGACGGGGTGTCCCTACCCTCGGCCTGTTCACGTGGTTCTTGTTGATCAGGCCCCTTGGGAGGCTCAGCCGATCGCTCCTCTCCTTCCCTCGGCAAGAGCACTGGCGCCCCCTGACTTCCAACAGCAGTTTGTGAATCGGTGCTTGTACCCTGGCAAGAACGTCTTGGATGAGGGGGCTATTGCGTAAGTTCTCGCACTGCCTAGTTGATTCGTCCTATGCCCTCCGGTTTAGTATCACTATGGTCTCGGTTGAGAGACGTGCCCCTCGTCAATTCAGTATGGTCCCGTTGTCAGGTTCTCAGCTCCTGGTATCCCTGATGGTACTGACTTGATGTTCAAGGCTAACGGCGCCGAGATCGGTGGTTCTGCCTTCGCTCCCCTACTGCAGCCTCCAGCTCCCCCGCCCGACTACTTTGGCCATCTCCTCGGGCACCCTATGAACCCTGCATTGTACGATGACGAGAGCATTGCTTCTGAAGAGAAGGATGCCGACGATCTCGAGGCGAAGGAAACTGTTGAAAATCCTGAGGAAGCTTCGGAGACGGTGGACGCCAAGGAGGAGGTTGACGAGTCCCCTGTTGGCAAGAGCAAGCACGATAAATCAAGTACCCCGGAGCTGGCTCCGGCGGAGTCCGATGCGAGCTCGGATTATTCCGGTGATGACGACTTTGACTACTTTGGACACATAATGGGCCACCCGATGAACCGAGGGAATGGCCGAAAGAAGACTCCGAAGTCCAAGAAAAAGAAGTCGAGGAAGACCAAGTCTGAAAAGGTCGAGTCGGACGAGCCACAAGTCTCTGTTCTGAACTTGTTCTTGGGTGGAGTGGAGGTGTGCGACCGTGAGGAGAATATTTCGTAAGTTGTGAACGTTCGCCGTTCTGACCGTTTAATCTCGCCTTTCAGGCATTTCGCCAAGATTGAGGATGACTCAAGCATGGAGATGTCGAAAGAAGAGACTTCGTTTGTTGCCGCTGATGATACTCAGGCTAAGGATGATGGTTCTGCCTGCGATGGAGAGGAACAGATCGACCAGTCCGCCTTCGAGGGAAGTCCTATCAATAATGTGTCTGCTTTGGTGGAACAGCCCAAGGTCGAAGAGCCCGAACAAGCAGCAGAGGCTTATGAGGATGTGAAGGAGATCTCGGATGAGAAGGAGATCTCGGATGACGCTAAAGAAGAGCCCGAGAAGACTGGTCCGAAGGAGGTCGAGATCGCTGCTCCTGCACCATCGTCGGAGAAGCCGGTAACAACTACGGTTCTCGAGGAGCCCAAACCTTTCAAGGAAGTTGTCGCCCAGCCAGAGCTTAAACGGCCTGATGTACCTGCTCGACAGTAAGTTTGTCATTTGTCAACTTCTTGATAGAAGTTTTCCTTCAGGCTCTACGCCGAAAAAACCAAAGATCAAGTCGTCGAGGATAACGAGATCTCGGGCAAAGTTCGCACTGGACCTGCTGCTCCGAAGAAGAAATCCTTCTTTGGTAGCCTGTGCGGCAGCAAGAGCTAAGCGCGAAGACTACGGGGCCTGACTGCTTCTGCGGATGGGTCAACTGGTCTGGTTACACTTCGTCCGATCGGACTCAATATCTATCGAGACCGTGATCTTGGTGATTGCATGGTAACATGACTCACAGTACACTATTTGTTCTAATTAGCTGTTCAGAAGGGTTGGTGGTGAGCTAGGTTTGTATGTTCTGGCGCTCATGGCGTCGTAACTACACTTCTGAGCACGCTTCATCCTATCATAGGTAGGAACCCTACTGCTGGAACGCGGCATCTGTCACTACTATATCGTACCTGATGTCTTATTAACATTGTTGGTTCCGATATGTCTGGTGAATCTCATAAAGATAGCTTCGTCTCTCTTCCTTTCGTTCTTTGGTTGAACAATTAAGGAGTTGAATACAAGTTGTAAACGCTCAGTCGCTTATGAGCTCATGTATTCATTTCAGCTTTTGGTATACCGTCGCAAGATGGCCGTGAATGTCCAGTCTTCTGAGCAGATCTATGAGCATCATTTTGATTCCTACGATGGTACCTTTGGCATGAGTCCCATGGTCCAGTACGGCGAGGCGCCCGTGGTAAGTTCTCCTTAGTTCCCCTCGTGCCGGTTGAGTACTGCTGCATTTCAGGATACGTGGCATTCGATTGCGATCGCGCCTCCATTGCCTTCTGCTAGGGATATTGCTCCCGTGGACTTCCAGCAAGCTTTTGTCCACAAGTGTCTCTATCCGAGTCAGAGTTTCCTTGTATCTGAAGGGTTCGTGGAAGAGGAAGAAGAGAAGTTAGGGAAAGAAGACGAGTGAGCTTGCTCTGACTTTCATCAGCCCATGCAATCGACTCGTGCATTCTCAGGGTTGCCGAACTTAAGACACGAACTCCGAGACGGTCTAGCGATCCGCAACCTGACTACTCGGCCACCTGTTGGGGCATCCCATATCTGCTGATGACGACGATGACGAGATCGAGGAGGAAGAGACTCCAGATGTTTGCGACGTTGACCAAGCAGAAGCTGAGCCCGTTGTCGACTGCACCCATGAGGAACTAGATGTCTCCGGAGAAGCTACTGATTCTCCCGCAGCTCTCGAGCGTGTGGAAACTCCCGAGGTCGAACACGAGGTTGCCGAGGTGTGCCCTGCGAGCCAGCCGGTCCCTTCTGAGTCGGAAAAGGAACTTGAGATCTCCGAGGAATCGACCGAGGATGATGATGTTGACTACTTTGGGCACATTATGGGACATCCTATGAATCACAGCGGTAGCCAGCGCAAGATCAAATCTCCCAAAGCGGCGAAAGAAGCTCCCAAGGTGAAAGAGGCTGACTCACAGGAGACTCAGGGGTCCGTCTTGGGCCTCTTCCTAGGTGGAGTAGAAGTCTGTGACCTAGAGGAGAACATTGGGTAAGTTTCATAGTGGGATGTTTCGAAGGAGATCTTGTTTCTCTCAGGCAATTTTCTGCTCAAGAGAAGGAGGATTCAGCTGTTGCTGTGGAGGATGTGGAGAATTGTACCGAGACTAAGATCGATGAGCCCAACGTACTCGAATCCGAGACCGTGGAGAAGGCTCCCGAGGCTGTGGATGTCCCGAAGGTTGCAGTATTTAAGAACGTAGCTGAGTCTCAAGCGGCGCAAGATTGTTCTGTCCCTACTGCTCCGGAAGTTGTCGCACCCCCCAAGCAAGAGATTCATGCTCCCGTATTCGCATCGCGGTCATCGCGAGGTCCTGAAGTTGTGCAGGCTGGAGGTATCAGCGTTGAAGCTAAACAGTAAGTCACAGCGTTTTGGTATCAACTGATCATCGCTTGGTGTTTATTTCCTCATCTCTTTGTTTCAGGCCCATCAAAACAGTACGACCCGCGGTCGAGACAAGTACCACTAGAACTTCGACTAAGAAGAAAGGGTTCTTCGCTGGTCTCTGCGGCAGCCGAAATCATGACTGAACCATAGGAGGCTCCTTGGATTTACAGAGACTGTGATCTCAGTATATCCGCTTCATGCATGCCAAACCGTGTATAGTACACTATGAATTAATCACGACGCTAGTAGATCGTTGCTATGTGGTCTCTTCACGATGATTCTTGTTGGAATCAGGGTGTTGGAGACCAACACTTTTTATTTCTTATTTATTTTCATCCGCTACTGAGTGTATGAGTATATTGACAGCTGTGTGAGGGACTTGAAAGCAACCTGAAGGATCTGAGTTGGTCAATTATGGATTAAGTAGGTTGGCTGGGTATACTTCCATAACGGTTCAACTTCTTTTAGCTTGCGTGAATTGGAGAATAGATGTCGGACTTGACACATTTTGTCAAATCCGAGTCATCAAATTTACGGTTTTCTCAAATCAAGTGTAAAATGTACTCGCTATGCGAGTACATTTTAGGACTCACCAAACACGGTATATGCATCGTCGAGCTGCCAGTTGTGTCATTCTGCCTGGACTCGCAGTGATATTATTAGGAGCACGATTTACGTCATACTTATGACTTCGTCTGAGAACAATTGTCTATGCTCTGCTAGTAGATCAACGTTCCATTCTTTCGCAAAGATATTCTGCTTCATCGACTCTGCTTCATCGAGCGGTTCTCCGGGTATTGTAACGCCCTGTGAGCACCTCACGTTTCTGTTCGGTTGTCGCTCAGCCATCACAAGCTATGGTTAACCTGACTGTGTTGTGGGGCATGTTGTGACCGTT